TTTTCAGAGCTGACTGATGCATGAATTCATTGCCTTAAAGACTCCTGTGTTATCTTCCATTTGTTGTATCTACACATCCCTCAGCAGGATAGCAGGTCATTTTGTCCCGTTGCCTCCATCGGGGTCATGGAGTGTTTCTGTCCAGCTCCTAAAGGAAGGATAAAGATAAAGGTTTTAAATGGTTTCACTGTTCATCTTCCCATTCCTCTGCCCAGCCTGATTCTTCAAGGGGCCAAGGAAGCCAGAAGCAGGCGTTTTGAGGATGTGCCCAAGGACAGTGCCTCATTCGCTTCTCAGGATCCACCCTCTGCTCTTTCTTCAACTGCCTGCGCCCCTTCCAGTTGGCCTGGTTGCAGTTGACTTCAGACCATTGGTGCTTGGACATAATGCCTTTGGGCTACACCTTGTAGTTCATGGCAAACCTTTCCTCCTACTCTTCTCATGAGCAAATATTCATTCAGGAGTGAACATACCATACCTGGGGATTGTAGAGTAGGTTCCTCCAGACTTGAAGGGGAAAGGATTCTACTCCTGCTATTTCCTAATTCCAGAAGCAAAAGCGAGCCTCAGACCCATTCTGGATTTGTACCTCTTCTACAAGTCTCTTAAGAAGTTAGTTTCACATAGTGTTGGAGAGGGGTTGCCTTTGCGATGCCATCCATTTTGGAACCCTCATCTCAGGTGCCTCAGATGTCAGGTAGAGCCCCCTCCTGGGCAATCTTGGCACACAAGGTTGCTGGTCAAGGCATGCTCTTATTAAATATCAACATCAGAGCTCAGAGCGGTTTGTCTGGCTTGCCAAGCTTTCCTGCCTCTCTCAAAAAGCAGAATGGTCCAGGTCTGACAGAAAATAAAACAGCTACGTGCTATATCAACAAGCAAGGTGATAAGGTTTTCTGTCCATTGCCAGGAAACCTTCAAGGTCTGTAATGTCTGTGTTCAAAAGGGCATTCATCTTGTAGTTGCATGCCTCTCTAGGGCAGATCAGCAAGCCCCAGGTGATCCCTCCATCTGGAATTGGTGAGCATTATCTTCCAGAGGTGGGAAATTCCACAGGTGGATCTGTTCACAGATTAGGAAATATGACACCATTTCTGCTTGATTTGTGGGATTGACAGAGTCACTGTCACACTTTCCTGCTCCTGTGGCTGGGGGCTCTGTTGAATATCTTTCTCTCCAATGCTGTTGATTTACAACGTCCTCGTGAAAATCAGACAGGACAAAGGTGATCTTCATAGTGCTGGCTTGGTTGAGCCAGCACTGGTTTGACATGCTGTTGGAACTCTAGGTGGCTGCTGCTCAAACTGCACCTGCTGTCCCAAAATCACAGCAGTCTTCTGCATCCAAACTTGGTGACACTGAACCTGACAGCATGGCTGCTGCATGGCTAAATGTGATGGGGCAGGAGTGCTTGGCCACAGTCTAGAAGTTCCTGTTAGGCAGCAGAAAGCTCTCCACCAGTGTGACGTATCTGGCCAAATGGAAGCAGTTCGAATGTTGGACCTTGGGTACAAGTATTTGGCCAAAGCAGACCTCACTGCAAGTTGGTCCTGGACTACCTTATGCATCTCAAGCTTCAAAGTTTGTCCCTTTCTTTCATTTATCAGGGTCTGCTTGGCATATATTCAGCCTTCTATCCACCACTCGAAGATCCGTCAGTTTTTAACCAGGACATGACAGCCAGGTTCCTCAAGGGCCTCAGGTATCTCTACTGGCACTTCAGGGACCCCTTTCTGCCATGCAATCTGAATCTTGTGCTGTTGCAGCTCACAGGACCCCTTTCCAAGCCTGTGGCTTCCTGCTCTCTCTTCCTCCTGTCTTGGAAATTGTGTTCCTAGTTGTGATAATATCTACCTGCCAGGTCTCTGAGGTTAAGGCGCTTTCCTCAGAACCTCCCTATCCAGGCTTCTTCAAAGATAGGGTCTAGCTGTGGCCACAGCCAGCTTTCCTGTCTAAGGTGATCTTTCAGTCTGGTATAGGACAGGACAATTACTTGCCTGTATTTTTTCCCCAAAAACTGCATAAGTTTGCATTCCCTAGATGTCAGGAGGGCATTAGCTTAATCATTCCACAAGTCAACACAATTGTTTGTGGTGGTGGCTGACAGGATGAAAAGTCATCCACTGTCCACTCAAAGAATTTCTTTTTGGTATCACTGCCTGCATTTCCTGCTGCTATCATCAGGCAAAGGTGCCACCCATTCAACCAGGGCACAAGCCCCTTTAGCAGCTTTCCTTGCCCAAATGCTTATCCAGGACACCTGTAGGGCAGCCACCAGTTCATCTGTCCACATCCTATTATGCACTTACTGGTATGCCCAGGAAAATGCTGGATTTGGTAGAGCAATACTGCAAGCTGCTAGACAGTGAACTCCAAGCCCACCTCCAAGGATACTGCTTGCGAGTCACCTAGAATGTAATCAACAAGAGCAAACACTTGAAGAAAAAATTACCTATCCTTTTGTAATTAACTGTTCTTTGATATGTGTTGCTCATGTTCATTCCATTGCCTTCCTTCTTACCCCTGTCACAGTTGCCTGCAAGAGTGAACTGAAAGGTCAGGATCACCAATATTCCAACGTGTGTACATGGCACTCAAGGAGTTGCTATAGCCAACCCTTCAGATACTGCTAAGGCAAAAATCTCCAACTGTGCATGTGGGCGCACAAACCTATAATGGAATGGACATGAGCAACGCATCTTGAAGAACAGCAGTTTCAAAAAGGTAGGTAACTATGATGGTTTTTGTAGCAAATGCATCTACATAAGAGGGGTTTACCAAGATAGCTATCCCAGCAAACCTTTTTTGTAGTACTCTAGATTTTAGTCTGTTATCCCCTTACTCAATGTCTCCATGGCAGCAATGGATTACGGTGTTGTAATTCATACAGTGTCATTTTTTTCTTGCATTGAGATTTGATGTGTCATAGCCTCATAACAGGAAGTCTTTGAATGCTCACGTCTGACTTAGAGATTGAAGCTTTCCTACCACAAAAATATTAAACAACTCTTGGCTATTCTGCTCTCACTTACGTACTTTCAATCTCACACTCTCTCTGATTTCTTGATTGATTTTGGGAAAGTCTTGGATTCATCCCAGTGGAGAATGGGATATGTGTGAGAAACCAGTATCTCCAGCTTTTCCTGTGGCCTGTGTTGTGGAGATCAGACTAGATTATTGCAACTGTCCTTTCTGGCCTTTAATTTCACTTTGATGTGGAACACACAGAGTCTTCATTATAAACTATCAACGTAGGATTTTATTTGGTGTTATGTTACCATTTACACTTGTTAATTAGCCACTTTTCATACAGTAATTCACAGTTACATTGATGGCCATTTTAAAAAATATCATTCAGCACCCTAAACAGGTTGGACTTTGCCTCAGGACCTGAGCTGTCCCAGACCAGGGGAGGTCAGTGCCTCCCTGCTGGCTGCCTTGTCTAAGCACTACTGCTGTGGTTCCCTAGGGTTCCCGGCCAGGCTGCCCAAGCACTGCCGCAGGGGTTCCCCTGCCAGGGTACCCTGCCACTACCAGTTCTACTGACTCCATAGAACACTAGAACTGGAAGGGACCCCAGCCTTCATGGCAGGACCAATGCCATCTAGACCAGGGCTACTCAACTTTGGAAGCCCGGGGGCCATAGTGATACAGCACATGCCGAGGGCTGCAACTTAAATGTGGTTGCATATACATGCAAAACTATATGCAAATAACTTCTTTCACAGTGATTGGTATGAATACACAACACTTCCCACAATGCCCCAGTGATCCCAGCACTTCCTCCCTGAGGGCTAGAAATGCCCATGCTCTACCTATCTTTTCCAGCCAGCCCATCTGCTTGCATCTTTTAATGCTCACCCCACCTGGGAGACACCTTGCTGTTGTGTGGAGTGTGTTCCCAGTAGAGGACATGTTCAAAGGATCCCACCTGGAGGGAGTAGCCCAGTCTAGACCATCCCTGATAGATGTCTATCTAACCTACTCTGAAATATCTCCAGTGATGAAGATTCCACAACTACTCCCCCTCCCCCCAGGCAATTTATTCCAGTATTTAACCATCCTGACAGACAGGGAGTTTTCCCTGATGTCCAACTTAAACTTCCCTTGCAGCAATTTAAACCCATTGCTTCTTTCCTATCCTCAGAGGCAAGAACAACAGTTTTTCTTCTTCCTCCTTATAGCACCCTTTTAGATGCTTGAAAACTGCTATCATGTCCCCTCTGTCTTCTCTTTTCTAAACTAAACAAGCCCAATTTTTTCAGTTTTCCCTCCTGTTTTCTAGACCTTTAATCATTCTTGTTGCTCTTCTCTGGACCTCTCCAATTTCTCCACATCTTTCTTGAAATGTACACAGAACTGAACACAATACTCCAATTGCGGCCTAATTAGCACAGTGTAGAGTGGAATGATCTCTTGTGGTTCACCAGGGCTCCCACTCCAGCCACTGCTAGCCCAGTTGGGATTCCCCAGCCTCCACTTTCTTCCAGCTGGCTCCCCCTATGGGGCTCTTAGGTCCAGCAACATCTGTGGCCCTGACAGACTACGGATGTTGCCACACCAGAGGATTCCAGATTGTGTCAACCTGTAACTGCAATAAATATTGTTCTTGAAATGGCAAACACTGCTGTAAATTAACCACTATATGTGGTGAACAGTTAATTTTACTAAATGGCATTCATTCTAACTCTTCTAATGGTTAAGTCTCACTGTGGTAAGACCTGGTTGCTTACTTGTTTTTGAATGTCATTGCTGTCACGGAGCCTTTCTTGTACATCTCTAACATGTTAATTTTTTTAGTCTAGTTCTGTTCTTTTGAAGAAGCAGCATATATTGGACGAAATGCTAGATGTAGCCCTGGTAGCGTTTCATACCAAAATGTACATTGTGTTGCACACATCAGTATCTTAATTTCATTAAACTTAAAATACTATGTTTGTCTTTACTTTACATTTAACTAATATATTTGCTATATTTTAACTTATAATTTGTTATATTAGATCCTTCAGGAAAGAGATATGCTGTTGCATGTACACAGGAAGGAGAGGAAAAAAAACAAGCTTCTAGCACATCTGGCACTACTAGAGGAACAAGAAAGAAGACTGCAAATACTACTCCTAGAAGATCTGCGCGGAACAGAAAAACTGAGACTATGAGTCAGTCTTGCAGCTCACCAAGATCAAGTAATTCTGGATGTGATGCCCCCAATGACAATAACTCAACTATAAATGTTACTTCCTCTGCAGAACCAGAAAAATCGCTTCCAAAACGAAAATCTAAAAGAGGAGTTAAACAGCAGGTACCTTTGGTTAAAAAGAAACTTAGAAGTTCTTTGCGTTCTGAAAAATCATCCAGTGATTCAGTGGAAGATGATGAAACTGCTGAGTCTGATACACCTCCTATATTTACGAAAGACCACCCATCAGATATTGAAAGTAGTAACTGCTGTCTTATGCACACAAATAATGCAGAAACAGAGTCTGCTAATGGCTTGGAAAGCCTTAGTGAACATGTAGAGAGGGAGGAGCTTACTAGCGAATGTGACAAAGAACAGGATACCCTAGAAAATTCAGACTCAGGTTCCTGTATTCAAGAACCTCCTGTGTTAAACTTAGAGATTCAGGAATGTGAAATAAAAGATGTTAATGAAAATGCTACAGATTTTGAGAATAAGGGTGTCTGTGAAAATGTTCTAGAACAAGTAGAACAACCAGTGAATAGTATCACAGATGAATTACTTGAGAATTCAAAAACATCTATAAAAGTAGATCAAGCATTAGTGAGTGTCCAAAATGAAATGCCTGAGCATCTAGAATCTGTGGCAAAAGTAGATCAGTTTTTAGGTAGCCCCAGAAGCTATTTGACTGAGCATCCAGAATCCATAGAAACTAACGATTCTGAGGACAAAGAAAAGTCAGCAAATTGTAATAGTGTAAATACTGAGGACATACAAACTGTGCAAGATACTGATACAGTTGTATTAACAAGTAATATTTCTCTAGACATTAATAAATTGGACCAGTCTTTAGATGAGGAGCCCATACCGGTATGTGAGGACAGAACTTCAGAGTTACTCGAGGTGAATGTTGAACAATCTAAGAAACATTTTAATGAGGATAACAGTGAAATTATATCGAAGGATTGTGGCCCGTTTTGCAGCGACCAGATTGAATCTCATGTTGAACAGCCACCACTGATTGTTGGCATAAAACAAGAGGAGGCAAGCTCATTGCAGCAAGATTCTGAATACTGTGTATCTCACTCAGGTCTTTCTGACAAAAAAGATGAAGATGCTCAAGAAACAGAATGCTCAACAGAATTTAAAAGAGATAAGAAGACTCGAACTAGAAAGTCTAGATTTCACTCTCCATCAACAACTTGGTCTCCTTCCATGAGGGAGGGTAGGAAATCTCAGTCACCGTCTCCCAAAAGGGATATTGTGAGAGAGGGCAGGATGTCTCGGTCACGTGAAAGGGAGACTATCAGGGAGGGCAGGAGATCTCCTTCTCGGTCTCCAAAAAAAGAGACTGTCAGAGGAGGCAGGAAAACACCATCTCGGTCTCCTAAAAGGGAGACTGACCGGGAAGGTAAAAGTTCTCCTCCTTGGTCAAGAGTTAAAGATTTCTCTCCAAGACAAAAATCTAGGTCTCAAAGCAAAGACAGAGATACTGATAGAGATGGACAAAGGAGAGATCATGATAGGGAGAGAAGAAATAGGAGGTGGTCAAGATCTCGGTCGCGATCTAGATCAAGATCCAGATCAAGAACAAGAAATAAAGGTTCTTCATTCATTAGGAATGAGCGAGATGGCCACTCTCCTCGTTGGAAAGAGAGGTGGACAAATGACAGCTGGAGAAGTCCCAGAGGAAATGATAGATACAAAAGAAGTGAACAGGAGAAACAGAATGAAAATATGCAAAAAGAAAAAGACAATACAGATGAAAGTATTGATGAACCATCATCTTCTGAAAAGCATAAGAATGATTGTCCAGACTGGGTAATGGAAAGGATAAATTCTGTTCCGGAAAATAGGAGCAGAGAAAGAGACAAATTTAAAGATTCACAATGGGAAGAAAATAGATACGATAATTCAGGGCATTCTTGGAATAAAACCTTTGGTTCAGGTTGGATTTCAAATCGTGGCAGAGGTGGCCGTAACAGAGGTGGCCGTGGCAGAGGCGGTTTTATGTATGGAGACCAGAATGAAAACCACTGGCAAAATAGAAAACCTCTCTCAGGAAACTCAAATGCTTCTGGGAATGAAACTGCAAGGTTCCCAGAACATCAACCCTACAGGCGTAAGAATGAACAAGATTTTTCTTTTGATACGCCTGCTGATAGGTCTGGGTGGACATCTGCATCTAGTTGGGCTGTAAGAAGGACATTACCTGCAGATGTACAGAACTATTATTCACGAAGAGGAAGAAATTCCTCAAGTCCTCAGTCTGGATGGATGAGGCAAGAAGATGAGACATCTGAACAAGGTACTCATTTTTATCTGATATTCATTTCATTTGAATGGAGGGTTTTTTAAGAGTACTACAGATAGTATGTGAATTTCAGTCACTTTACTGCTTTGTGCATGCAGCAAAGGCTAACCTAGTAATCACACAACAAAATTGGAAAAGCCTACTAAGAAGGGGACGCCTCCCCCTTCCACCTCCGTCTATACACCACAAATATTCTTGGCCTGAACATTCAGTAAATTAAGAACTGGCCTTTGCTCGCACTGTAATTCAAAAGACTCAATCGAATATGTTTCTAAGGAAAAATGTTTATGGATATGCTTTGCTTTTTTTTTGAGAATTTATACACAGTACGGTATTGTAGGTACAGATTGAAAAGGAGAGAAATTTAATAAACTACTTACTGCCTTTTTAAAAGAAAGATTTCTTCAAGAAGACTTAATAGTGCCCAATAAATATATTCACAGGTTACAGATTTGATCATTTTTATTAACTTATATCTGAGGTGTCAAGTATCAGAGGGGTAGCCATGTTAGTCTGAATCTGCAAAAGCGGCGAGGAGTCCTGTGGCACCTTATAGACTAACTGAAGTGTTGGAGCATAAGCTTTCGTGGGCAAAGACCCACTTCGTCAGATGCATCTGACGAAGTGGGTCTTTGCCCACGAAAGCTTATGCTCCAACACTTCAGTTAGTCTATAAGGTGCCACAGGACTCCTCGCCGCTTTTATTAACTTGATGGCACTATATCTTTAACTGTTTTTAAAAGGCTACAGAAGCTTCAGGGGGTAGCTGAGTTAGTCTGGACAGGATAAACTTAAAAAAACAGCAGATGGTCTGGTAGCACTTTATAGACTGACAAAACATGTAGATGGTATCATGAGCTTTCATGGGCACATCGAAAGAAGTGGAATAGCTCATGGATACCATCTACATGTTTTGTTAGTCTATAAAGTGCTACCAGACCATTTGTTGTTTTTAAGTTTATTTTAAAAGCTAAGCAGTTAGTAGTTTTAAAGTGAAATTGACTTTTCATGTTGTAAAGTATTTATAAATCCAAAAACTTATACTTTAGCAGATAGCTCTTGTCTGACCTGGAGGGAAAGAAATCCTTGTTTGCCCCTCTCTTGGTCCTAGATTTTTTTTTTTTTTGATTTAACAGTTAGCACTATGCACAAACTGCTGTTATAAACAGAATTATTATTGAATTACAAGAGGAAGCAGAAAAAGAAGCTTAGGAGAGAAATATCAAAAGGCATTCAGAGAACTAGGAACAAATAAAACATTTATGTAAAGGCTACTCTTTTTTCCATATTACAGTGAACATCCCTGACCAGTGGGACTGTAATATCACTTTGAATTTTTTTCTGTTGATAAAAATATTCTGGGCTGAGTAAACTGGGCTGAGTGGAAGGCTGAGGCTTTTATTAACTCATGATGAGGTTAATTCTGAATTAGTGGAAAGCTTTCTCAAATGACTAATACTCATATTATTATAAAGTTTGTAAATCATAAATAAAAGCTGAAAAAGAGAAATGGGCTATTACTAAAACTTACAAAACAAAATTCCTACTGTTGCTCTCATGTCCATTTCTTCATTTTTCTTTCTCCATTTCTATTCCTAATTCATACTGTCCATAAAATCATCTTCAAAATAGCTCCATATATTGTTGAAAACTGAATTCGGAGGAAGATAATTAAATTCTTCCATTATAAAATCAGTAAGACTCAGCTGTGTTGGCCTATAGAAAAAGAGAAGCGTATGCAGGGAGTGAGAGATAAGAGTGAACGTCAAATCTTGATCTCCTTGAATTCAGTGACATAGTTCTCACTGTTTTCAGTCATGTATAAAGAAAGAAAGTCAGCTTATGGATTTTTAAACATTTCAGCACTTTCATAGTCCCAGCTTCTTAGCTGCTGCTGTTTTACTACTTTCATATAAATTTGATTTTTTTTAATGTATTTATGGTATTGCCTTCTATTGTAAAGCTGAGATGGACACCTTTTTTCCTTTCTGGCACAAAGTGTGAAAGTTGTGAGTAAGGGAGCATGTCACCATTCATACAGTTAATATCCATGAAGCCTGGATAATAAACACTCTTAGCCAATCAGAGTATAAAATATTCTTGTACTTTAGAACACTTACTAGAAATAACTATAGAAATGTAGCCGTGTTAGTCTGGGGTAGTTGAAGCAAAATGCAGGACAATGTAGCACTTTAAAGACTAACAAGATGGTTTATTAGATGATGAGCTTTCGTGGGCCAGACCACGAAAGCTCATCATCTAATAAACCATCTTGTTAGTCTTTAAAGTGCTACATTGTCCTGCATTTTGCTAGAAATAACTATGGCATGGTTGTGCAAATCAGTTATCCAGAGTCAATAGGAGTGCAAGGAATTGCATACAGGAGAAAATGTATGGTTCTGTTTCCATAATAACAAAAGTTGGGTACTGTGTGTTGTATTCCTTTACTTTGGCTGAACCTTTTGTTTCAGTAAAAATGTAACACATTTTAAATATAAAGGAGTAGTTAGAGCACTCAGAGCAACCTGAACTTTGACTTCTTGAGCCGATACATTAGTATTTCTTGAGGGTATTTTGTACTTTAAATATTCTGTGTTCTTTTAATAGATCCAAACCTCAAAGACCAAACAAACCAACAAGGTGATGGCTCTCAGCTACCAATAAATGTGATGCAGCAACAAATGAATGTAATACCACAAGTGAACGCCCAACACCAGCCTATGAATATTTTCCCATATCCAATGGGTGTTCATGCTCCTATGATGAACATCCAACACAATCCATTTAACATTCATCCTCCGCTGCCCTTGCATCTCCATACAGGAGTACCTCTCATACAGGTAGCTGCTCCTACCAATGTGTCTCAGGGATTACCACCACCTCCACCGCCTCCCCCACCATCTCAGCAAATCAGCTACATTTCTTCACAACCAGATGGAAAACAGTTGCAGGTATGTTTTTCAGAAATCAAGGTCTAATCACTATAGCCAAAATACATAGTTGAGCAGTGCTACATCTATCCAGAGTATCTTGTATTAAACTACCATAAAGTTTGTAAAATATATACTAACAGCTCTTCTTCCGACTGAAAAAAGGTGATCTTATATGAGGAAATGTGTTGATTCTGACTATTAACAATCTTAGCCAGAATGCACAATATTTACTGTTTATTTGTAGTTCAGGTAGCACCCAGGGATCTCAGCCATGAATGGTATGTTGCATAATTTCCTCATAGTTTGTCTGATTAAATTGTGTGTGTGTACAAATATATATATTCAATTCTAACATGTTTGAATTGAGTGCTAAATGTTCTTCCCAGTTTAGCAGTGCAGTGCCTTAATATTCTGGAACAGTTTATATATTTTGTAATACGTGGAAGCTTTTATTGTCTCATTTAACAATCCCCTAAATTAGTGGTTCCCAACTTTTATTGGAGCCATCTCTTGGGATAGATCATCAAAGTATCACCTCTTTAGTGTCCCCTTGCACCATTTTCTTATGGCATTGCTTGTCTCTCTTTATCTTCTCTAGTCCTTCTCTTTTTCCACCCCATGTCTTCATCCTTTTTTCCTTTTAATTTTTGGGTTTTTTTTGCTTTTATGTATGTTATATAGTCTCTGTCCCTCCACTTCGGTTCTCTAGTCACTGCTCCATTTCTCCAGTCAATCAAAAGCCTCATTTTTACTGGAGATAGATTGGGGGATCTCTATGGCTGTGTCTAGACTGGCAAGGTTTTCCGCAAAAGCAGTTGCCTACACTGTCCGCTTGAATTTCCGCAAGAACACTGACTTCCTACTGTCTGAAATCAGTGCTTCTTGTGGAAATACTATGCTGCTCCCGTTCGGGCAAAAGTCCTTTTGCGCAAAGCTTTTGCGCAAAAGGGCCAGTGTAAACAGCTCAGATTTGTTTTGCGCAAAAAAGCCCAGATCGCGAAAATGGTTTTGCGGAAAAGCGTCCGTGCCAATCTAGACGCTCTTTTCCGCAAATGCTTTTAACGGAAAACTTTTCTGTTAAAAGCATTTGCAGAAAATCATGCCAGTCTAGACGTAGCCTATGTGCCTCATAAGGTTGGTAGTACCTGTGTAGTGCTCTAAAGAAGTGATATTTGGGCTGGTGGGCTGCTGTTAGCCATCAGTTCTGTACATGTGTGGTTCTTCCACAACTAGTCATTATATTAGGAGCCACGCAGGAGTGTTGAGGAAAATTGAATGACTTACAAGAGGTTTACTTAACACATCTGAAGACACATTTGCAGAAAAGGTAAATTGTCCAGTGACTCAGTAAATATGTTTGTGTAAAGACAAAGTAGCAAAATGTATTGCAGCAAAGAGCCAGTATGGAACTGAGACACTACTGTTGTCTGTGTGCTTCCCCTCAATATTTTTATGAAATTGTGTTTGTGCTGAGACCTAAATCTGTTAGTGACTTGTAACAACATTGATCATGAGAGACTGAGACCTGGTCTACATTTAAATTTGAATCACATGGTTAGGTTGATCTGAATTGTGTAAAATGTTGAACCCCGAAATACCATGGTTAGGTCAATCTTATCCCCAGCTGTTGCCTTTTGGAGAAATGGATTAAATGTACTGATAGAAGTACCACTTCTTTCAGTGTAGGAAACATACTGTAGCATAGACATGTCCTGAATTGCTTGACGGGTCTTTTGAGAATAGCTCTTTAATAGTTCTGCTACTTCTTGAGAGGCACTTGGGTAGTGTCACAAAATTACTTATCCTTGTGTGAGTTGTGCAACATTCCAGTTTCTCCTTCCTATTCCGTGTTTATAAGAAACAATTAAGGAAGGTCTAACTGGATTGCTACTGGTGTAATGCCTTGATATATAGCTCTGTATCTCTTTTTGGTTGAACTCAAATTGTAGTTTTGTTACTGCCCAATCTGGATAAATATAATCTGGCAGGCAATCAACCTACATAATATAGAAGTGATGCTTGTAGGGAGAAGCATTTAGAGCAGCTGGCAAGTGGGCAGCATTTGCTCCACTAGGGACTGTTGCTCCCTTTGTTGTTCCATAATTCCAGGGTAGCAGCAATGGCTCATTGCGTTTTATGGATATCTCAGAAATGGCTTTTCCTAAGGTATAGACTTCAGAGGTAATTTGGGCTCTTCTAGTCATGACTGAGCTTTAGCTATGGCTACCCTTGACATTTATGAAAAGCTCCATTTCTTGTGAAACACAGAAGCAAACCTAAGACATATGGGCAGGCATTCTGATACCTGAGCTCAAGCACCTGTATACTCTTCCCCCCTCCACCCTGCCACCCCCCGCTCCCCGGGGGGCAGTTGGGAGAATACATTTGAAGGACACATTCCTGTATGTTGCCATGAGAGCTAAATGAGACTGGGAAGTACTTGCTGTCACAACCTAAATTTGAACACTGCCCATTTCCACTTTCAGCACCATTCTTAGGAATTCTTTCCCAGTAGGTAGAAGTCCATCACAGCCAGGGTTGAGCAACGTTAATGATATAATAAAAGATGTATTTATTTTGTTCGGGCTTTGATTAACTATTTTTGTTCTTGTGCATATTAATCCCTATATAAAAGTGGCTGGCAGTTGTAGCAACAGCTCACATAGAAATTAGCTGCTAAATCCAAGTACCTGTGATATTCATACACTTTCTGAGTTCTTTTTAAAAAGTAGCAGTTATTGAATATCTGAAGAATAATGTATTAACTGCTGATAACTTTTTAAAACAGGGTATTCCTAGTGCTCCTCATGTAAGTAGTAACTTGAGTGCACCACTCTTGCCTGCTCCAACAGCCGCCCTGGGAAATGTGGGAACAGTTCAAGGACCAAGTTCTGGTAATCCAACATCAAGTCACATCAAACCCTCTAATGCTGCTGTAAAATTGGCAGATGACAAAGTAAGTGTAACGGTGGAAGCCAGCGCAGATAGCTCGAAGAAAGACCAGGCAAGTTCAAAGTTGAGAGTTTAATTTTTCTCTCCTTATGTATAGGATACTTGTTGCTGTCATTTTTAAACTTTCATGTAACTACAAAAAACTAGCAAATTAATTTAAATTAATTTAATTTTTAACCTAACAAAATATTAATACTTTTAGAGCTGTAGTTCTGTAAGTACCATACACTATAAAATATTAATTTATTATTAGGATCATATTCTGCTCTAGATAAATAGGCGTGGTTCTCATATCTGTGGAAATTGGTCATGTGTTCAAATAGTAGAGCGAAACTATGTCCCTGTTTCTGACACCCTCAATTTAAGAGAAACAGTCTGCAAAGCTTCTCTCTCTTTAATTTAACATTAATACTATATTTTGATGTTTAAAAAATTGCAGATATACTGACCTAAAAATAAGGGTTTGGGTTTTTTTTAACAGAAATTGTTAATTCAAGAAAAAGCAGCACATGAGGTAAAACTGGCTATCAAACCTTTTTACCAGAATAAAGATATTACTAAGGAAGAATATAAAGAAATTGTGCGGAAAGCAGTAGACAAAGTAAGTTCTGTTCAGAAATTACTTTTTAAAAAAGTAATATTTAAATTGCTGTCTCTCCCCCCTCTCCCTTTCCCCTGGCCATATTGGAAAAGAAGATAAGGGTGCACTACATAGACAAAAAGTAATGACAGTAGAGAGCAGTATATCATGTCTTAAATTAATAAAACAGCCCTCCTGATTTCTTTAATATAGTTTTGCCCATTTTGCTGAAAGGAAGCATTTATCTGTGAGTAACTCGTTACTGACAGCTATGAAACATTGACAGTGATGTGTGTGTGTGTCTGTTTCCTGTTGTAGGTTTGTCATAGCAAGAGTGGAGAAGTCAATTCTGAAAAAGTGGCAAATCTAGTGAAAGCATATGTAGATAAATACAAACATTCACGGAAGAAAAATCCAGAGGATGCAGTCTCTGCTGAAAGAAAAAAAGAGTAAAATGAAAAAGAACTGAGAAAATGATCAAGATAAATCTGCAAAGTGCAATTTCTACATGAACCATTAACTGAAAATTATACATGATTAATTGGAATCTGGTTTTGATAAAAATTATTTTTCAATGTAGTATATGTTTTGTTCTAAATAAATATAGATCTAACTGCAACTTCTTTACCCTTTTCCAGTAAAGAGGCTTAAAAGAAAGTAAAAGGTGTAAAGGAGAGTGCATTTTTATTAGGAATGTACGATTGTGTGGATACTAGCAGATGTACAGCATTTTGACTTGAATAATGAAGTGCATAAAATTAGAAACTTCTAATTACATTGGTTTTGGAACAGGTATGTACAGTACATGTAATCAGTCAGGTTAAAAATATGAAAGTAAGATTTTTCTCTTTGATTTTCCCCTAATTATAATAATGTATTCCCCTGACATATTTCTAGTGTTAACTGGACAGATGGCTTGCAGGGGTCTGTGTGTGTATATAAAAAAGCACATGGCTGTCTGAACAGAAGAGCTGTTTAGATTTAAAAAAAAATCATACAGTAAGATTCAGTGTCCAATATCATGGGCGCTGTACATCTATTGTAACACCAAATAAAGGTTATGCTGCTTGTTTTTGTTTTGTGACTTTTGTTTTAAAATGAATCTGATTAATTATTATGGAATTGAAGTGAAGGCTTCAGTTCCAAGAGGTATGGTTCAGGCAACCACAAGTGCATATCTAATCCTTCCCTCATCTGGTAAAGTGGCCTAGAAAATTCACACTATAGGCTTGATATTCAGGAATTATAAACAATTAGCATTGTACAGCTCTTGAACTTATAGTGAATAAAGTGGACTTCTCTATTGAGTCTTACTAGAGTCTCTGTTGACCAGAGGTTGCCAGTTGTGCCAATTTTACTTGTGAGGTATTTTATTAAAATGAACTGTACTTTGCAAAGGACTACAGCATAGCCCACAAAACTTGTCACTAAAACAGCACAAAGATATCCTAGATAACAAGCAATATGTAGTCACATATGTTAGTTTAATTTCCCAAAATACTTTTCAATAAAGAATTCAGGTACAGAATGTCTAGTCATTCTGAAAGGCATATATAGGAGCTATTAAGCATGCTATAAGAGTACTTGAGATTTTTACCAGCTCTTTATGGCACCCATTCGGCTCCTTTTAACTTTCTTTAGGACAGTGACAAGGGGGAATAGCAGAATGGCCCTTGCTCTCCTTCTCCTTTTGAAGGGCAGTGCTAACAAATGCAATATGCTTCCCTCAGTACTGCACTGTGGTGACACTTGTTTGTGAGCCCAAGAGCCTTGTGTTCCACTAAAAGATCTCAAAAGTGTGAATGTGCCATACACACTTAATCCCTGCAATGTGGTGTAATATACTTTGTTTAACCTTCTGGTATGTTATCATCCAGATCTCTGAGAGCTTTCAAATGCTTGTCCACTCCCGTCCATGAGTCTAAAGGATAAAATAAGGGATTTATACACATATAACTAAATGCTATCACAAAACAGAAACATTTGACTTGCAATATTTATTTTTGTGTGGCTAAATCAAAATATGTAAATTGAAGACTGATGGTATAATACTTTTTCTATGGTCAAGCCATGTTTTAGATCTTTCAAAAGTGATTCAGTTTTAGACAGTGGTAGCAATTTGTATGAACTCTCAATCTATTTTAAGCTAAAATTGATTAGCACTTTTTCTACAAATCTTGTAGCAAATTGCTATGTCTATCCTGGTTAATCACGCCATGCGTACTTATTTTTATTGCATTTTCCTCCTTGGATGAATTTTGGAGTTTAATGATTTTTATATCTTTTTACTCTATACAGTTGAGCCTCAGTATAATGCTCATTTTCAGAGACAGATAAATGTCCTTTTAAAGAGAAATAGGAGGTAAATGGCTGGAGGGATAGATGCTTTCAACATGTTGGGAGCAGGAAGGCAGAATTTGTTTCTTTGTGTCCCTAGCTCCTGTCTGGAAGACAAGATGCCACTTTGTCCCAATTATATTGTGGTAATGTGATTATTATTATGATGCTCCACTGTATTTCAAATTGTTATGAAGAATATCCGATAGATTAGAATGTGATCGGTAAACCTTATTTTTTACAACTGAAATAGATAAGAATTTATCAGAAAATATGCAGTCCATTAAAATCTGTGCTAAATTAAAAATGTGATGCCTTAATACATAGACTATCCTTTATTTTTCCAGAAAAATTAGCAAGGTGTACTTTAATGATTGCATGAGAAGGCATGGGTTTTAACTTTGTGAACATCTTTTTGTTAAAAGACTAATATTAAATCTATGTTCCTGTTGCTATTTATTGCAATTCTTGTGTTAACCCCTAGTAGTTATTGGGATTTCCTGACATGCACTAATACAAAATGCAAAGTGATAGCAGAAGCTCAGGCCCCAGTTGATGCTAAGAAGGTTGAGAAGACAAATTCATCTTATCTAAATTGCCTTGAGAAAAATCTATTGAATTGTTGTTTTTTGTGAATTTAGGCAAATCACAAAGGGGTTTCCCTGCACTCCATCAAATGGTTTCACTATGCATGCTGCTTGAATGTCTCATCCTAAAGATGTATCTTCAGGAGCACAGTAGCTGGACAAAGTCCATGCTGTGGTGCTTAAGGCTGGAGTGCTGTCTACTGAAATAATATTCTAAAAATAGTTTTATGTAGTGCATAATATTTTCTAATAAATTCTTTTGGCTAAACTGCAAGTTATGTGTCTGGTCTTAAACTAAACGGCTGAATCTTCTACCAGTGTCTGTCACAGGACAGGCTCTGAAATGAATTGCTGTTTTGTAGGCATGTAAAACTAAATGGAAATTATTCTGCAGTATTTACCTTTTCTGAAATCCCTAGTTAGGATGGTGGTTTTGTGTACATCTGTACTTTCTTGTTTTATAATGATTAAGTAAAAGAGAAATTGTGTGTAACTCTTTGGAGACATGCGCTAGTGGTGAAGCATTTAATACATTTCACACCTTTTGGGAGGAGTTGTGGGAAACAGTGTGTTTAAGTACAGAGGAATCTAATCCTTGTCCAGCTGCCTGGCTTCTCTGGGTACAATACATTCCAGCTCTTAGAAAGGAGTGTAGGACTACAGCTCTGTACCCTGAGTTTTTGTGGCCAAGACCTCCACAGTTGAGGCTGTGGTTGGTCTCCCTTAGGTAACTAGAGGCTTGATTTCTCCTTAGTAGTTAGCAAAGGGCACATCACTAGATCTGATACCAGCTTTAGACGTGACTCATTAAAATTACAAATCTGCTTTGTCTATATAAGAGGTGAAATCTTGACTCTTTTAGATCAGTTTTTACATTTACTTCATTAAGGCCAGGTTTTACTCTACTCCTGTAGTAACTGTTAAAAATACTTTTTCTGGTATAGAAGTGGCCCTAGTGGTTTAGCAGTAGTGAGGTAGTTTTGACAAAAGGCATGAAGTTGTTTGAAGTTCCTCTTTGCTGTTGAAGAACCTCAGTCCTCTGTTTCATATTCAGACATTGTTCTGTGGCCTGTCCAGAAGAATTCCATGGATCACATCGTAAGCACCACTAATTTTACTTGAAGAGCTGTGTAAGTTACTGCTCAAGGATATGGAGTTACAGTCCCTCAACCTTTGACAGGCAAATGTTTCAGTGACTATTTCCACAAGGTAATATGCTAATGTCACTATTACTGTCCTTGGGGCTGCATCTCTATTTATTGGCACTCCTGTAAAAAAAAAAAGATTGAAATATTTTAATCACTCCAAGTTGTGTCAAAGCTCTTAGTAAGATCTTAAAAAAGAAAGGAAAGAAGCTTGGATATGAGTGACTGCACAGGGAGTATACTTAGGCAAACTCTAATTGCAGGTGAGTAAACACATTTCCTTCATGAATAAGCCCCTTTATGGAGCCCCATGTTTGAGAGAGATCATCAGCAACTACCCTCACAAGAAAAGCCAAGTACATGAAGGCTGGTCAACTGCTCTGCCGAGATGAGTATCCAACTTGTGTCCCCAGTCAAGGGCAGAGTGGAGCAACATGTGCGTTGAACAAGTGGCATCTTTACAGATTTATGGTGCCAACTTTGTGAAACTAGATCAGAACTTTGGCACTTTTAATGCTCTCCAGAGCTTGGAGGCCAAACCAGGCCCAGTGCTGCAAGGTGGAGCAGCTACAGGCCACTAACAAATTTCAGGCTGCAAGGGACTGATTCAGCAGGCAGTCCCAGGGCCACCTTACCTTCTTGCCACTTTACACCCCCAGAGCTAGGAGCCAAAAAGGGATGGCTACCTCAGCAGAGCTTGAGTAGAGGACTGCTCTGAATCTAGCCCCGATCTCTGTGACAGACTGAGAATGTCATTTGATTTCACTCACTGAAATCAAGTCATTGAAATGTAACCATCTTTCAGTCATTACCTGTCCAGGCTACATGTGAGTGGTGGCTTGCAAGTGAAATGCTCTGTACTTTACCAGCACTGTTCCAGGGTCCAAACATGCACATAAGCTTGTGGCTTTTTTGTCAATTCAAAACATTTCCACAATATTTAAAAGGGGTTTTATTGATTTTTTTTTTTTTTTTTTTTAAGCTGAAGTTATTTTCCAGATTTTACTGAAATTCTCTGCAGGCTCTAGAATAGCCCAGGATCAAGAGGGTGCAAATGTGGTTTTAAACCAACTCAGTACATTCTTCAGCTGGGGCTGTGAAATCTGTGCTCTGACTTAGAGATGCAGCCCTGAATTTAACCCCTAGGAGCCTTTGGTAGATTATAAAACAGTTTATGGCACCTGTTTTTCATTATACAAAAGCATCATTAAATACTTAGCTAGAAATGTAGGACACCTGTGCTTCATTAAGTTTGTCCTATAGTTATTTCACATTGTTTCAGCAACTGAAGTTCTTTGCTCCAGATCTAATATCCTTGATGACATTGGACTAAACTAGAATCAGACCAATTAATTATATTAGGTGGAGTGAAAAGCCTGGCAGAATTTAAATACCACCTTTTGAACAGTTGCTGGAATTGTCTAGTGAAACCGTTGAAGTGGTCACTATTGGAAATGTATTGAGATGTCAGGTCTCTGGTTAGTTTAAAAACTTCAAAACCCATAATGGCTGGTAGGGACCCAAAAATGGACTAGGAGGCCAACGTACCTGTTACATCACTTGTCCCCTTTAGTGGTATGGAGAGTTTATAGTAACTTTCCTATAGTTGCTCCCTTCTTGACTTGTGTTTTTTCTTTTCTTTTAGGAGATGTAATCAAGGAACAAAGAAGCAACCTGTATGTATAGAAACACAAAAGGAAAATACCCCATGCACAGGAAAACTAGTATGGGCTGCAGGAGGAATTGCTTAGCCCCAAAACATGCACCCACAGTGATGCAAAGACTTACTCATATGCCTTTATTTCACTATTCTCAGTGGTCCCTTTCACTTCACTGGGCTGCGTTAAGAATGGCCAGCATAAGTGTAAGTCTCTGCAGGATCAGGGCCTTCATGGCTTATAAGTGATAAGTATGAGCAACCTCTACTAAATTCAGGCCCCCATCTATACAGTCTCAAAAGATCAGGCCAATTGCTGATTGGTCTTCGAGGAGCATCCCAGGGGTTGCTCTACCTTCGGTGTTTTAGCGCCGCTGGCTGGAAGATTTTCATAGCAATGGCATTGACAGCTAGCGCGCACATGCACAGAAGCACTGCACACGCCAGGCGGCTAATGTGCATGTGCAAGGTACAATCTCCTCAGTTCCTTCTCTGCCACTGATGGTGTCGGTCAGAACCGCAGTGCGCTCTGCAGATTTTTCTCAGCTAGTCTGTCTTTTTAGTTTCTTTTGCCGAGTTAGGTTTTTTATTACCTTCTTACAACCATCTTATGATTTTTAAAAAATAAAGACTGAGTGTCTCCCCTTCACACAGAGACAAGCATGTGTTCCGCGCCTTGTGTGCCCCCTCAGGGGCCCCCTCTCTGATGTGCTGAGGCAAACAAAATGCCTCAGCACGTTTTTACCTCAGACTCCTCACAAACGGCTGAGAGTCTTACTTTTCCTCAAATAAAAAAAATAAATAAATTTTTTTTTTGTAACAGAGTTCTCCCAGGCAGGGGTTCTGATTTCTAAATGCTGTTTTTCCTCACAGGCTGCCATTCTCGTTATAAGGCTAGCTATCTGGACAAATAGGCTATGTCTACACTGGCAAGATTTTGCGCAAATACTCTAACACAAAAACTCTTGCATTAGAGTATTTGCGCAAGAGAGCGTCTATCCTGGCATGTGTTTTTGCGCAAAAGCGTCTGTGCCAGTGTAGACGTTCTCTTGCGCAAGAAAGCTCCGAGGGCCATTTTAACCATCGGGCTTTCTTGCACAAGAAATTCATGTTGCTTGTCTACACTGGCCTCTTGCGCAAGAATGCTTCCACAATAGGGCTTATTCCTGAGCGGGAGTGTCATAGTTCTTGCGCAAGAAGCACTGATTTCTTACATTAGAACATCAGTGTTCTTGCGCAAGAACTCCCCGCCAGTGTAGACAGGCATCAAGTTTTTGTGCAAAAGTGCTTGCTTTTGCGCAAAATCTTACCAACATGTACACAGCCATACAGTGCAGCTCACTGCCATCAGTGAAAATTTGGCAGCCAGGGTTAGAAGACCCAGAGGGTTTTCAGTTCAGCCTGATCTCCCTCAGACTAGCCTCACCAATGGCAATGTCAGATAAGGCAGTTCCTCCTGCCTCAGCTGCGAGCTCTGCCTCTTCCAAACAAAAAAGAGCACATGCAGCAGCAAATGGAATCCCCTGCACATAAGAATGGGCGATTCCTAAATCCTAAGCCAGCTCCGTCCCCCGTTGGGGCTCCAGACAAGTGCTTACCAGGGCAGTTTTCACCCACAGCGCCCCGAGGGTCTAAGAACCTGGTCAGTGTGCCTAAACATGCTGATAAGCCCCAGCCTGTCGCAGCCAAACAGCACAGGGCTACAACAGCATCATCGGTCTTACCGACACTGAGCAGTGCTGCATATAAAGGACCAGGGCACTGTTACTGCCTCCCTCTCCTGGTAATGCCAAAGCATATACTGGCACAATAGTCTTTACCACTGGTGCTTCTTTTTTGCCCTTATATGTCCACAGACAATTCTATGATCTCTTTAGTGTCTGTGACACCCTTATTTGGCACTGATTCCTCCCCGCATTATGAGGCTTTTTTTTATGTCCGTGCCTGGCACTTTCATACCTCTGTATTCTGGTGAGAAGGATCAGTCCTCCAGTGTGACCTCAACTTCTCCCAGACACTCTACGCCAAGGCACAAATTCCCTCCCTTACAACTAGCCTTACTACAATGGCAACCTGCGCATTGGCTACCACCAAGTGACCCCTGGGCACTTCACAGAGCTCAGTAACAACAGCATCTCCATGTTGCCCAGCTCCACTTGAGGCCTATATCCACTGTGTCCCTTGACATTTCAGGGGACCAGATTTCCATCAGCCACTGAGTGACGAGGACTCCACAACCACCTTTCACCCACTTCCCCAGATTTCTCCTTCCTCCCCAGTGGACACACTCATGCCTCTACAAGCCCCATCCAGGCACAATTTCAAGGCATTCCAAGACCTCTTTAAGAGGGTAGCTGAGGTCCTCAAGGTCTTGCTAACCACACTGCCAGAGACCCAGCATAAAATCAGAGGAGCAAGTAAACCATTGCCAAATCTGCCCCTCCTGATTGAAGAGTGGAAATGTTTGGGTATCATGGGCAAACAATCATACGCCTCTGCCTCCCTACAGCTACGTATTGCTAATTACACTGTGATGCTAGCAAAATACACTCACCCCATTTTTCAGCAAATTGCAGACTTCATTCAATTCCTCCCAGAGGGAAAAAAAGAACAAATGAGAGCAAACACTAATGAAGGACTCTTGGTAGCCAGAACAGCCCTCCAAGCTGCTCTGGATTCAGCTGACACAGCGTCACAAGCCTTGGCCATCTCTGAGAAGAGCCTCCTAGCTCTACCTCTCTGGCTTCCCTAAGTTAGTTCAGACAAAGGTGGAAGACCTTCCATTCGAGGGTCCGAAGCTCTTTGCTGATGGCACACACGCTTCTCTACATTTCCTCAAAGACTCCAGGGTCACGCTTAAAATGCTGGGCATCCAGGCTCCTGTACCAAAACGCAAATAAAACAAACCTTACATTCAAAGATACAGACCTTCCCTCTTTGGTCCTTCTCAAAGACAATACTACCCCAGAAGTGCCAACGTCCGGGAAGGAGGAGACAGCCCACCAACCAACCCACCTCATCTCAGTCCTCTAACTCTAGGCAAACATTTTGAAGGTCTTGTCAAGACCCATCAGATTCGTCTTCCCTCACCCGAGCCTCCGATCACTCTTAGTATCCAACCGCAGATTAGCACCATTTCACCATCAGTGGCGCCTCGTAACATCAGACAAATGGGTTCTAGACATGATAAAGTTTGGGTACTGCAAACTTCCTATCTCCCCTTCTTATCTCCTCCCAAAACCCAACCACCCCCCCATCTCTCTTCACAGACCCATCTCACGAGCCTGTCCTGAGTCAAGAGATTGACCACTTGCTCTATATCAAAGCAGCGGAAAGGGTTCCACAACAATATCAAAATACCGGCTTCTCTGTGAGGAAATATCTGTGAGACGTCAGGGGGCTGGAGACGCATTCTCGATCTCAGAGCTCTCAACAAATATGTCCGGTATCAATGCTTCAATGTGGTTACCCTCTCCACCATCATACCCTCTGTGACGTACTGGACTGGGCCGGGTCTGGGCACAGCTGAGGGCATCGGTTCAGGGCAAATTGCTCAAAACTTGGGGCTCCTTACAGCCCCAGACTGGAGACCTTCCAAACAGGTCACAAACCAGTCACACCGAATGCTTCAGCTGCCAATCTGGCCAGCCAGAAGCCTCACAAGCAAAACTCCTCTGACACTCCAGCTCTTCCTGTGCCCCAATCAGCCCTGGGCCTGCACACAGATGAGGGGCTTTAGAACCTAATCTCACCAATCCCAAATGGGTTCTCTGGTCTCAAGACACCAGCCACAGGTCCCAGTCAATTTACACTCTGGATCTTACCCACAAGATCACACTGAACCAATCCTTTAGAATCTAAAATCTAAAGGGTTATTACTAAAAGAAAGAAAAGCATGAGAATAAGGTTAAGGAGAATACATTACATGCATTGAATCACCAAGTTCTCAATGCAAGCTCTTAGCAGAGATGTTATAAACTGCTATCTTATAAGTCTCTGGTGTACATCCTATGTCAGGATGGGTCCATGGTTCTTTCTGGCTTGTTGTTCCCTGCAAGGCTACATCTAGGATCAGGAGATGAACTGAAGACGATGGAGGTTGCCACATGGCACTTATATACCTCTCCTGGCATCCTCCTGGCCAGAGTATGTCACATGGTCGAGCGACCTATCTCTGTTTCACATGCTGGCAGCCATTATGCCCTGGCTGGTTTGCAGGTATCCTGTCACATTCCTCAGGTGTGTATTGGCACCTAGAGATTCATTGTCTCCTTGCTAATTAGCATAGCCACTGGCTGAACATTCTTTGCCTATTTTCTCGGTCTCAGACAGAAAATTTTCCAGCATCAACACAGAGTACATATTTATAACTCCACGTACAGATATTATACAAGTACATGAATGGCATATACAGAATCAATAAAACAAGCTTTCATTTAACATCTCACATGTAGAGACTTTTGGGGCAACCCCCCCCCCCCATGGGTGCAACAGTGATCTTTAGAATCCAATAACGTGACACCCCTCCCTCACGATGATGACTAGTTGGCAACTCTCAACCTTCAAGACGTGTAATTCCATATGTTCATATACCCTGCACATTGGAAGTACCTAAGAGTCACAGCAGGGGGACATTTCCAGTATACAGTATTACCTTTCGGCCTATCCACTGCGCTGAGGGTCTTTTCCAAGGTCTTTGCAATTGTGACGTCCCACCTGCGAAGACAGGGAGTGTCAGTCTACCCATATCTCAATGACTGCCTCAGAAGGGGCAAGTTGTTCCAAGAAACTCAGGACTCCGTCACAACCAGTATGGTGCTGTTCCATGTACTTGGCCTCCAAATCCACCTATCCAAATGCCAGCACCAGCCAACCCAAGTCCTGGAGTTTATAGGAGCTCAACTTGATTGTACCCATGCTATTGCATCCTTATCCCATCAGAGGTTCCTCGAAATACTACAACTAGTACAACTTCACTCAATGGCCCCACAACTTCCTGCCAGGTTATGCTTCTAGCTACTAGGCCATATGGCAACAGTGACAACAGTTATCCCGCATGCCAGATTACATGAGGCCAATACCACAATGGCTGAGCACAGTATACAGGCCTCAGATACACAGCCTTCACAAACTGGTTTAGCTTCTGATCCTGGTCAGACACTCCCTCCGATGGTCGTCACGAGCAAAATGTGTGCGCTGGGATCCCCTTCCACATGCAATCCCCATCATTCACCATCTCCACAGACGCCTCCCAACAGGGCTGGGGACCTCACCTGGGTTCCGTCACTACACAAGCACAGTGGTTCCACACAGAGACCACGATGCACATCAATGTGCTTGAACTCTGAGCGATATACTACGCCTGCCGGTATTTTGTGAATCATATTTCCAACTCCACAGTGCAGGTCTTTACTGACAACTAAGCTGCAATGTTCTACATAACCAGGCAGGGAGGGAAGAGGTCCTCCCCTTCTGCAGAGAGAGAGTCCAGTTATGGATTTGGTGCATCACTCACAGCATAATGTTAATTGCCTCACATCTCCCTGAAAAGTCGACATAACCACAGACAGCCTTAGCAGGAGCCATTCTACATCAAATCTTTACACAAAGGGACTTCCTGCAAATAGACTTGTTTGCCACCACTGCCAACAAAAAGTGTCCATGCTACTGTTCGCAAGCGGGCATTGGAGCACAATCCCTAGGGGACACGTTCACAATACACTGGGGGACAGCCTTACTATACGCTTCCTCCCCACCCCCATACCGCTTCTCCATCAAGTAGTCGCCAAGGTGCGCTTAGACAACACCAACATCATTTTGAGAGTGCCAGACTGGCCAAGACAAACCTGGTATACCTACCTACTGCATATATCAGCCAATCGCCCACTCCCATAGCTTCCCCATCTCCTTGCTCAATATCGGAGTTGCCTTCAGCATCTTCATCTCCACACCATGAACCTTTAGACCTGGCTCCTTAGTGGCTCACTTTACTAGAAACAGAATGCACAGATGATGTTCAACAGATTCTCCTTAGCAGTCGAACATTCACTTGCAAAACTTACCTGTACGAGTGGTGCCAGTTCTCCACTTGGTCTCATCTCCACAACCTCGACCCATCTTCCGCTCCATTACCTGCGGTCCTGCAATACATAACCGAACTAAAAAACTCTGGACTTTCACTCAGTTCACTGAAGGTCCACCTCTCTGCCATAACTGCTTTACACCAGCCAATAGACAGCAAGTCGCTGTTTACACATCCTATGACCAGAAAGTTCTTCAAGGGTTTGCAGAACATCTATCCACCAATCAAACCTCCAGCTCCTGCCTGGGACCTCAATTTGGTTCTAAGAACCTTAACTTATAAACTGTTTGAGCCTATGGCAACCTGCTGTATACTCCACCTTTCCATAAAGGTGGCTCTACTAGTGGCAATCACATCTGCCAGGAGAGTTAGCAAAATTGCTGCACTCATGGCAGACCCACCTTTCACCACTTTCTACAAGGACAAAGTAGTCCTCTGACCTCACCCTAGGTTCCTGCCAAAGATGCCCTCTCCTTTCCACTGTAACAAACCTATTAACTTACTAGTCTTTTTTTCCCAAACCTCATGCAAACCAAACAGAGGCCACACTTCACACTTTTGATTTATGGAGGGCCATTGCATTTTACCTGGAAATAACCAAGCAAATTCGGAAAACCAACAGGTTGTTCATGTCAACCACTGAACAAACCCAAGGACTCCCCATCTCGTCCCAAAGGATCTTTAAATGGATAGTAGAATGCATAAAAATAGCATATTCAACCTTTAGTAAAGAACCACCTGCACAACTTTTTGCACATTCGATCAGGGCCATGGCTGCATCAACAGCCTATGCACAGAGCATCTTCCTGTCCAATATATGCAAATCGGCCATCTGGTCGTCTACTCATACATTTGCTACTCACTATGCTCTGGATTCCTCTGTGTCCAGAGAAACTGCATTTGGACATACAATCTTCGCTACAGTCCAAAGGAGACTACACCATCCAAAGCGCCCACCTCCAGGGGATAGACTGCTTGTAGTCACCTAAGATGGAGTACCCACGGGAACATCCATCTCAAAGAACATCAGTTACTGCAGAGGGTGAGTAACCCTCTCTTCTTATCAAATGCTAAATCTTGATCTAGATGACACATCATGTTAACTGTAAAGCAAACAAATGTTGCTCTTAAGATACTGACACAAGCTCAGGGTAGCTGCAGGTGATGGCATGTGCTATTAGTTAATAGAGATTGCAGTAGTTACATGGCAGAGCTAATTTCAGTAAATATACTGACTAGAGGGAAATATTTCTAAATCAGAAATGGAATTTACTTTGTGAATGTCTTGGTGTTAAATATTTAAACTAGAGCAAACGATAAAAAAAAAACCTGGCTCAATTGCAGAGAGTGCCTCAGCTGCAGGTAGGAATGTAAACTTCAGCATATTTTGCAGTAGGACTCGTTAAGCTCCCACAGCTGAAAATGACAATAACAACATTTCAAACCAACCATTGCTTTGCCGGGGAATCAATGCAATTCTGCAAAGGATTACAGATAAGCAACCTGTAGTCATTCTGAGTGGATTGTGAACAGTACCAAACCAAGAGCCACCAAATGGGAAGTCTCCTGTTGTAGCTGGGAACTTGGACCAAAGTTTTGGCAGCAGAGTGTCATACAATAAGGGTTCTGAAGTGTTACAGAAGTAAAGCAACTGAATTAAGGGAAATAGCAAGAAAAAACAGTGAGGGATTTTCAGATGACAACGTACAAATAATGTACTTTGGGAGCACCACTAAACAGGCATTGAAATGATAGAAACTTATACAGAGTCTGAACTGTGCCAGATGTACCAACTCTAGAATTGCTGTGAACCTGTGCTGTGGAAGTGAGGTTGTGGCTGTTTTGCAGTCCAGGTGTACCCCTATGAAGTCTAGTGTCTGTGTTGGAAGCAAGATACACTTTGCCAAGTTTATGCATAGCCCGAGTCTGGTGAATAATGCCCTGGTAAATGTCACTGCCTGCTGAGTATCGTAGGGTGACTGGCCCTTTATGAGGCAATTGTCAAGAGACAGAAAAATGATAATTCCCCTTGTTCTAAAGTGAGCGATGACCACTGCTAGTATCTTTCAGAATACCCTTGGGGCAGTTGATAGGCTGAAAGGTAGGACTCTGTACAAGAAATGTTGGGTTGCCACTGTAACTCTGAGGAAGCGGCTGTGTGACAGGTGTATCGTGATGTGGAAGTAAGCCTCCTGAGGGTTGAGGGTGGACAGCCAATCTCCCTTCTTGGTGGTGGGTATGACTGTGGCGAGGGTCATCATTTTGAAGCGTTGATCATACATGTACCGATTGAATCCTCTGAGATATAGTACAGGTCTCCAATTCCGATTTCTTGGTTGTGAGGAAGTAGAAAGAATAAAAACCTCTTCCCCTGCACTCGAAGTGCAGCTCTTCTATGGCTCCCAATTGCAGGAGACATTGTGCCTCTCGTACAAGCACAGCCTCACAAGAAAGGTCCCTGAAGTGGGACGGGGATGGTGGATATGGTGGAGGTAAAGGGGATGACGTAACCTGTGTTGATAATCTTGAAAACCCACTTGTCAGTCATAATGGATTGCCAGGAAGGACAGAATGCTGCTAGTCTGGAGCCAAATGTAGTATAAGGCTTGTATTGCTGCACAGGATGTATGGGGGCTCTCTGACCCTCGACCAAGACTTCAAAATGACTGATGTGCTTGAGCCTGTTGGACGAGGTTGTCTTGAACATCATCTGTTGTCATATTGTATAGTGTGGTTGAAAGGTGTTGGTTTGTATCTATATGTAAATTGTCGATTTTACGTTCTTCTATTGGGAGGAGGTTGGATGCCAAGTGTGCACAGAGTGACTCACGAATCTTTCAGAGAGTGAAGAGTCACATTCGTGGTGTCTGCAAATAGCTGGGATGTCCCGAATGGGAGATCCTCAACCGTGCTCTGGACTTCCTTTGGAAAACCTGACCATTGAAGCCAGGACATGCGCCTCATCTCCACTGCAGATGCCAGAGATTTAGAAGCTGTAGCTGCGGAATTGAAGGCAGGCTGAAGTGCAGTTCTAGATATCAGAGAACCTTCCTTCATCAAAGCTTTGTATTCCTTTCTTTCATTGTCTGGTATAGTTTCAATAGAAGTCGACAGTTGGTCAAAAATGTGGTGCGTGTATTTGGAAAGTAGCACCACGTACTTGGTGATATGGAGCTGTAGCCTGGCAGAGGACTATGATCTCTTGCCCATGGCATTAAGCCTCTTCCATTCCTTGTCATATGGGATTGATCGCATAGTCTGCTGTTTGCCACCTCTACCAGTAGAGCGTTTGGAGAGGGATGAGTGAAGAGAAATTCCACACCCTATGGGGCAATGTAGTATTTTCGATCTAGTCTCTTAGATGTAGGTGGGATTGTCGCCAGGGTCTTCCAGAGGAGCTTAGCTGGATCCATCAATACCTCATTCATGGATATTGAGACCCTAGTTTGCACCAAGGTGTGAAGAATATTAGTTAGCTCAGTGGTCACCAACCAGTAGATCGGGATCTACTGGTAGATTTTGGAGCCTCTTACAGGTGATCCTTACTGGTTTGGTCAAGAGGCTATCAAGTGCTGGCACTTCAGCTCCCCCTCCCCTTGAGGAGCCTTCTGCTTTCTCTGCAGGGCAGGTAAAGGCAAGGAGGAGTGCTGATGTCAAGGTGCCCCCTCTCACACTTCATCCTATCTCCACAGAGCAGAAAGGGGGCACAACAGGACTTGGGATGGAGTTTGCTGACTGCTTTAGGGAGTGGGCCAGGGCAGAGGTGCCTTAGCCCCACTGCACCATCAACCAGAAGCCACCTAAGGTAAGCAGTGCCCATCTGGAGCCCACATCTCAAACTCCAACCCCAGTTATGAACTCCTTCCTTCACCCCAAGCTCCTACCCTAGCCCTGAGTATCCCTGCATCCAAACACCATCCCAGAGCCTGTACCTAGAACCCCCCGGTACTTCAATTGGCTGCCCCAGGCTTACCTCAGAGCCCCCTCACACTCCAAATCCCTTAATCCAAGACCAGCCCTTTGCCTCAGACGAGTGAAAGTGAGGGAGGCTGGAGTGAGATGGGGGTAGGGCCTCACAGAAGGGGCACAAATGGGGCAGGACTAGGGTATTTAGGTGTGACAGAGATCTTGGATAGCACTTAAATTCAAAAAAGTGATCTTAAAAAGGTTGGAGACCACTGAATTAGCTTGTGCTGTGTGTCAGGAGGAGCGGAGAGGGATATTTCTAGTTTGTCGGTTACCCTCTTAAAAAGGTTCTGAAAGGACTTGAAAGTGTACCCCGAACTCATGAATGATGGGGATATAATTGTGTCTGTTGACAAGGCTGGAGAAGAGTGTGTAGGTGGGGGGAGTTGGAGGATTGCTCCGTCCCTGTGACATCCCCGTCCTCTTCGCCGTCGGAAAATTCAGACCTGTCTAGTGAATGTAGGCTGGGAAGACTAGGTCTGGCAGATGAGTGGTATTGGCATCCTGGTTGGGGAGAGGGCTGCTGTCTGAATGAAGCCCATGGGTCCCAATACAGCCAATTTAGAGGCATGAATGGCAGTACCCACTGCTGTTGCCACTGTTGGAGCTGTACCAGTTTAGGTGAGGAGGTCTTAGACACTCGAGCTTAAGGTAAATCTTCCTCCTCAGAGTAACTAAACTTTTCTGACATAGAAGCAGGTATACCCGAAAAAGAAATGTCTGAGTTGGTTGGGGTGCCAACTGTGCCGAAGTGCAGGGTTCCCAGCACCAAAGTTACTGACAACTCGGTAGCTGTAGTGAACTGCAGGAGGCGGAGCTATCGGTACCACAGTACTTTGAACAGCCGGTGCCAGTAGCACACAGGGCATCAAGAACGTGCTTAGCGTTTTTGAGCACTTTGCTGGTGTCGGCTGCTCAGCGGGCAGTGCATGTGCAGCTGAAGGTGCTGGCATGGAATGTGGTGTTGTTAGCACCCCCTTTTCTGTTGCCAGTGTCTTAACTGATGCTGGAGTACCGGCTTGATCAATTGGCCTTGCCATCCGGCTCTGTGTGCACTCTCGGCTTTTATGGGAGCCAGCACTAGAGTTATCTGCCCCCCTTGATAGAGTAGGGGCAACAGTACCAGGTTTTGTGCTCACCAGTTTCCTCATCGGGGATGTAGCCCCGAGGAAGTATGAGACCTCTTCCTTGCTGAGGGAGATTTTCCTTGAGTTTAGGGCTTGCAACTGAAAGCTGAGGGGCGAGTTTGGAGAAGAGTCCGAGGGAGGTTTCAATGCTTTCTCCACTTGTAAAATGCGGAGTTGAAGCTGTCTAGCTCTCCTTGTATGCTTAGTCAATTTCCTGCAATGCTGACAGCGCTGTGTCATGATCTTGATCCAGGCAGTGGACACACTGAAAGTGGCCGTCTGTTACTGATATGGATAGACTGCAGTCTAAACACCTTTTAAACTCAGGTGAGCTGGGCATGTCCTGAGTAGTATAAGCAGAAACATGACGGGCACTATCAAAGCGGAGCCATGGGAAACAAAGAAAGTGCTGCCTGACAGAAAAAACTCATTTTTTTCAAAAAGGC